AGTTTATCTGTATCCAAATGTGTTCAATCTAATCAACAGCCCTAGGAGATAAGTGTTATCCTATAGTTTATATTTATATATATATATATATATATATATATATATATATATATATAGAGAGAGAGAGAGAGAGAGAGAGAGAGAGAGAGAGAGAGAGTTTATATATAGTTTCCTATAGTTTACAGATTAGGAAAGTAAGGCCCAGAAGAGTCAAGTGACTTGCCCAATGTCACCCAGCAGAGGTCTAACCCCAGGCAGCATGGCTACAGAGCCCATGTTTATACACACTACACTAAATGGTGGCTTAGGAAGACTCCTGATACCCATTCTGATTTGAGTGCTTACTTGCTAGACACTGTTCCGAGAGCTCTATCTGCCTCCTGCTGTGGAATGCTCCCCCAACCGCCCTGGAAGGTGAACACACCCTCTCCATGTTCCATGTAGAGAAACAGGGGCTCAGAGAGATGAAAGAAGTTACCCAAAATCACAGAGATAATGAGTAGCCAACTGGGGTCCCTTCTGAAGTCAAACAGGATCTGAAATCTATATGCCTTTGGGTCACATGGCAGCTCCCTGTGTCCCGCCCAGAGATGCTGAAGGCACGAACAGAGAAGCAGTGATGTCCCTTCTGCCTGTGCCCCTGATCTAACCCTGAGAAAAGGTACAATACTAACAGTCTCTGTACTTTGCCCTTAAGGGGCCATGTCTCCCACAGCTCTCTCTCACTAGTGTGCCCTGCTGGCCTCTCCCCTAGCACCAGTGTGAGGCAAGCGTGCACAGCAGGCCCAGTGTGATGTGACATATGGCCAAGAATGGCGATGTATTTATTAAGTGAAACCGACAACTTTCATTAACCCAAGTAGACATTATTAAAACACACTAGTTGTCTCTGAGAAATGGAGTGCCCGGCTCGGGCTGTGAGCAGAGGCTGCCTTGGATGCTCTGAGATAGAGAGCGGGCTGGGCCTCTCTCCCAGCCTTCAGCAGTCCATCCATCATTCCCCATGAACTGAACCCAGCCTGAGTCCCCAGACCCCACTCACTACCATCTCCCAGTGACCGTGGGCTCCTCTTCATTGCTCTCCGAACCATGAATGTGCACCCTGGGAGTCTCTGGCCAGGAGACCAGGATACTCCATTATTTCACCTGTGCTTGAAGGTACAGCCACCCTCTGAGTCCCTGATTGAAGACATTAACTGCAGCATTGAACCTGGCCAGGAGCCTGGCAACAACTGACAAGGTGCTGGCTGGAGATGTGGCTTGGTGGGGTCCCAGGTTTTCAACCTACTGGAACCCATTATTAGAGAGCGTTACCCCTGGGGACCCCCTTGGTGAAGAAAGCAGGGAGTGCAGGAACCATGGCAAGAGGGTAGAAGGAAGCCAGAATTGGGAGGACCTATGGGACTACAGTCTGAGGCCACCCCGGCCATACACTAATTCTGACTTAACTGAAGTGCAGGAAACAATATCAATGATCAAATCTGCCACTTCGTAGTTTGCAAGATGCTTTTACACATGCTATCACATTCGCTCCATCTAAGTTTCCTGGCCAGCCAGCCAGCTCGGCCTGCTCTGCCTTTCTTCGGATGGGGGCAGAGGCTGCAAGGGTAAACACTACATCACAGTTAGGAAGTAATGCTGCAGGGTGAGCCTGGTGCTGTTTCCTCCTGCCTCACCTCATCTCTAAGAACTCTTGTTTTGTTATGATCCAAACACCAATGTCTGCCGTAGGAGGAGGCCATTCTCGGCCACCACCACAGTCACCACGGCACTAGGTTAAGTGTTGGATGTGGCCTGCAGCACACGTTTATAAGATCACTGGCAGAATCTTTGCCCTTTAGTGTAATAATACAGGGCCTGATCTGACTCTCCAGTCTCTAAGTGGGATTCTGCACATGCTAGGGTTCTGCAAGCCACGCATTTGGTATGGAACCAACAGCGATGGCTCTTGTTCTCAGTAACGAAAAGGGTAGGGGCCACCCAAGAACATGTGGCACCCAGGGCTTAGTGACCACTCTGGTTTCAGAAGGCCCCGGACCTTCTGGAGGTCTTCACGACCATCCTCACACGGGCCCTCACCCTTGTCAACTCTGGCGTCTCATCTTGGGCTCAGACAGCCCATGGCATCAACCGCAGAGACAGCACAAAGACAGAGGGATAACTTAGTCACCTTTCTTGTTCCACTGCCTTGCATCTTGCTTTTTGAGGAGTGACAATAGATGTTAATGGGTGACTAGAAAGAAAGAAGATGTGGAGGAAGAGAAGGAGAACAGAGGAGCAAGGGAGTCAACTAAAAGGTGGGCGGTAAGATTGTTTATCCCTCCTAGACAAGCTGATTTTGTCTAGAAACTAATCTGAGGAGGGAACCCATGCGGGGCATAGACAAAGCCATGGCCTTAGATGAATATGGAGTCTCTCTCGACTTTCTGATCTCTCATACTTTCCTTCCGCATTCTCATCAAGCTCTGAGCTGCCAGTCTTCTGGGGCCAGGAAAAGTGACTCCTGGCAAAACTGGCCAGTGGTGTGGCTCTCTGGCATGCTGCCGAGCCTGAAAAGCCAGCAGAGCCAGCTGTATGTCCCCAGTGGCCAACACCATGCTCAGGCTCAGCCGCACAGCTCCCGCAGTGGCCCCAAGGCCCAAGGCCCCTAGTGCTCCCTACAGTTCAGCACTTGGTGGGAAGCTGACCCTCTCGCCTGCTCTCCCCTCCCATCCTTGTCTCCATCCCCAGTTGCCCCCAGGCCTGTGGCCAGTGCCCCTTCCTTAGACTTGGGGCCAACTGTTCCTTAAGTCATTAGGAACCAGGGCACCTGTCAGGGGACAAAGATCTTTCTCTCCAATGCTGCTCCTGTGAAATGATGCCAGGAAGTAGTTGGAGTTGGCATGAGCCATCTGGGTTCAACATGAATTTCTTGTTTTAATCAAAGCGCTAAGTGAATCGGGCCACCCCGTGTCTTCTCCCTGGAGTGGGTGACAGCAGCTCGGAGTCTGTAAGAGAATCTCAAGTGTGCAGACAACTCCTGTGAAGGCTAATCCTGGCTGTCTTGACTTGACTACAATCAACTAAAATGCAAACAGCTGGACACAGCTGTAAGGGATTTTTCTTAATTGAATTGTTTGAGGTGGGGGGAAATACACCCTAGATCTGGGCCATGACTTCTGGTTTCAGGCTGCATTTAGAAAAAAAAAAAAGACATGAGGGAATGAAGCTTTTTCTTTTTGCCTGCTTGCCCTGGCTCTTGCTGGCAAGTTCATCTATCCTGCTGCTAAGGGACTCCTTCTTTGGTATAAGACCCGATTTCTTTAGTACTCCAAAGTATATCAAACATTAGCTTAGACTGCAGCCTTATAGACTAAACAGCTACCTGATTCTTGACCTCTGTCTTGAGACAGCCATTGTTGGACTAGATGGACCACAGCCTGTCAGCCACCCTAATAAGTCCTCCATGTATGAATGCATGCATGTCTTCACTCGATCCGTTGTTCTTAGAGAATCCTGACTAGTGCATGTCCCCTGCAGCATGGTGCAGGCCAGCACATGGAAGTACGTTCAGGTCCCTGTAAGTCACCGCTCACAGTTGGTGTCTCATACAGGTTATCTGTGGGTTTGTCATACCTCCAACAATGATTTCTGAGACCCCTGAAGACATGACCAAGGGAGAGGGGCTGCTCTCACTTTGTACCTTCAAGTTCACCTTGACCAAGGCTTTAAACTTATCCCAAGTTGTTCTGGAATGCCGCCCCAATGACTTCTAGCCCCATAGACTTTCCCAGGCAGCACGGCAAAATGGGACAAATGGGCATATGCAAGTCATGCGTCTGATGTTAAAATGAGGAACAGGAGCCAAGTGACAAAGGTCCAGAGAGATGGCCAGTCTTCAACACAAAGCACGGAGACACACCCCATCCTTTCTGTGATGGAACGAGGGTCAAATGACCAAATCAGAGGCTTTGAAGTTCAAAGGACTCAGACTAGGCACAGGACTCTGGTCACTTAATAGCTGTGTGACTTCAGACACAGCACTTGACCTTTCTGGGCCTGTCCCTCCTCTGTCTCAGGAGGATGGTAGTGAGGATCTAATGAGGTGACAGAGGACAGGCAGGCACAAGCCGGGGGCACCTGACCAGGGCAAGTGGCTCTATTGGGGCTTCTCTGGCCTAGTGCAGAGAACAGGAGGCCAGAAGAGGACTGGGAAGCTGGGTCCCTGCAGATGACCCCTCACACCACAGGTGACACCTCAGAGGCTCTGATGGCGCCACCCTGCCTGTTGGGGGCGGAGGGCCTCTGCACACCACGAGTCCCCTTCCTTGGCCTGAAATTGATCAAAAGGCAAGCAGGAGTGCTGCAGGGCTGACCCCCGTGAACCACTCCTGGGGACAGCCCTTGCTTTGTGAGGAAGGAGGGAGCCGGTCCTCCTCTCAGTAAACAAGCTCAGCCATTCCGTCCGCTCCAGCCCTGTGTTGATCATGCTACAGCAAAGGCCACAAGCCCTGCAGCGCCTCATGTCTCTGGCTTTGCCAGGAGAATCAAAGCACAGCCTTGGGTGACCCTGCTTCCTCTCAGATCTCTTGTCTCCTGTAACTTGTGCTGCTTGCCCCCATCCCCTCCCACGCACCCCCTACCCCTCCTCTACCCTCCCACCCCACCCTTGCAGCGCTCTAGCTGAGGGAGCCTCTGCTAGCACCTTTAAGACAGGGACCAGGGAGAGAGAATGTAATTCTGCAGAATGCTCCACTGTAGGAGCCGTGGGTGGCGTGAAACACCACCCCCTGAGTATCTCGGAACATGAATGGCAATGCACAGTGACCCAGAAGCGTGGACCGGTGAGGCCTAAACCGGTTGCAGGAGTCAGGGGCCTCTTCTCCGCCTTCTCCCAGGCACCCAGGGAGAAACCAGCTGAGCAGTGAAGAAAGAGCTGGTTCTGTTTACAGCCATCTATCTCCCATAATTAGCCATTTAGGAAGAAAATAGCCTTCAAATTCAAAGGTAAATTGACTTACATTGGGATAATAACGTTTGATTGAGCACGGGAAGTTCATCTTCAGAGTATGAGAGCAAACAAATTGCTTTTCTTCCCCAGCGCTTAGAAAGAAACAAAATGAAATTGCAGGTGCTCCCAAGCCATGTGCCAGTGCCTCTGGGACCTCAGTGGCCCCAGGCTCCACATGGAAGCAAGGGCTTTGGCTGTTGCTCTGTCTCCATACCAGTCCTTTGCTGGTCCTTGTTCTGAGGGTCTTAAAATTATACTGCCTCACACCAGCGAGGCAGTCAGTTATTACTGTCAACAAGAGCAGGAAGGGACGTCAAATCCCTCCCTTCCATGGAGGCTGTTCGTAAATGCACCGCTTTATTGATTCCTCAATTGCAGAGCTTGCTCACTGCTTTAGCTTCCGGGAGCACTGGGGCACCGGGGAGGGATGACGAAGTGAGGCAGGATCAAGAATGGAGATTTTTGCTCCAGCTGGGTCAGAACTCCTGGGTGATTTCCTCCTGGAGGCTGCGCTCTGTGAGGCAGGAGATCTGTAGAAGGGAGATCGGGTAAGCGTTGCCATGCCAGTATGGAAACAGATCTCATGAGCCAGGCTATAGAGGAGAGCCTGAGACTGCTACCAGAAGCGAGGCCTCGCCAACCGTGCCCCTTCTGGAACCTCGGATCCTGGCAAAATCCCCTCTTGTATTTGGGTTCCTAACAGAACCTGATTGCCTCAGTGGAGTCTTGCTTCAGCCCCGTTAACATTTATCTCTGGCTGTGAGCCTCTACAGGAGTGAAAGGACTCGAGCTTAAGCATCAGTGCGCATGTGCAGGGGCAGACATGTGCACCTCTCTACCCTTAGCCAGCTCCCCCACACTCTGACAAAACCCTAAGGAAAACAGCTTAAAGGAGCAAGGGGTTTTATTGTTGTTGTTGTTGTTGTTGTTGTTGTTGTTTGGGCTGTTTGTTTGTTTGTGGCTCCTAGTTTTGGAGGTTTCGGTTTGTGGTCACTTGGTTCCATATCTAGGATCCTGTGCTGAGCCGAGCATGATGATGGGAGCCTTTGGCAGAGCCTAGATGTTCGCCTTGCCGGGGTCAGGAAGCAGAAAGAGGGATACAGCTGGTCAGTGTGCACCTTCCAAAGGCATGATGCCCCTAGTGGGAGACTGCCTCCATGTAGGCCCCACCTCCTACTGTTCCTCCTGCCAGCCAGTAGTCCATCTGGCTGTGATCCATCCACGGACTGGTTCACTGACGGAGGCAGAACCTTCACTGTCTAGTCCCCTCTGAACAGCGCTATTCTGGGGACCAAGCCTTCAACATAGGAACCTGGGTTTGGGAGGTGGCATATCCTAGATCCAAACCATGACAGTTGTCCTGGCCACTGGCTGTTGTCACGAGAAATAAGAAAAACCTGAGTCCAGATAGGAAGAAAAAACACAGAAGCACATGTCTTCTATGCTAATAAAGTCCCCAAACCCACCTATTGCTGGGTTAAAATCATCAGCTTATAACAACACATATTCAATATCTCCAGACTTACGTGGGCCAAGAATCTAGTGTGGTTTAATGGGGTCCCGCTTCTTCCTCCTCATGCACCAGTGGTGGTGCTAGCCAGGGTTTACCTGGGGCAGGGTGAGCTCCACCCCTGCTCTTGTAGCTAAGGTCTGGATTTGGTACCGTGGATGCTGGTGGCCTGGGTGTCACCGTGGCTCACTGAATATCAGATGTCTCTAACTCACTGTCCTTGTCAATGCAAGCAGCCAAAGCAAGACCCAGAGAGGGAGAATTCCAAGACAGGGTAGAAGTGACATCTGTCACTTTTGCTCTGTCTTGTTAGAGGAAAACCATGTAGTTGGACCTTGAATGTCCCCAAAGACCTTATAACTTGGCTGCCAAGAGAAAGTAATGGAATCTTTAAGAGGTGGAGCCGAGTGGTCAGTCTTCTGGTCACAGGGGGCGATGCATGCCCTGACAGGGGTCTGTGGGACCCTCCTCCTCTTTCTCGTTCACTTCTCAACCTTGAAAAGGGCCTTGTGCCATGAAGCACTACCCTGGGTCCAAAGCTACAAGCCAAATGATCACAGAATGAAACCACTAAAACCATGGCCCCAGGTCACCTCTTCTCTTTGAAAGCTGTTAATCTCATGTGTACTTATGGCCAAGGATAGCTGACCCACCCAGGGGTTTGTGCATGGAACCAGGGTGTGGAACCAGGAGGCAGATTTCTGGGGAAGTTCTTGCCTCAGGACCTTGGTTCACTTGTCACATCCAGATTTTAGACTAAGATAAAAACCAGCCCAAAAGTCCTGGCCTTTGGGCCCTTTCAGGGACCCTTCAATCCCTGAGAAGGCTCTGCCTCGGAGGTCCCTGGGTGTGGGTGTGAGAATCCAGCTTCTGTAGATGACAACTTGACGCTGTGGCAGGTGGCTGCAGAGGCTCACAACAGCCGCACGAAGAGGCTTTCACTCAAAAGAAAAGCCTGGTTCTCTCCCCAGGCCTCTGTGTGCATGACCTGAACCCAGGCAAATGCCAGGAGAGGAAAGAGGTGGCAGAGAGGCCATGCAAGGGAGTGAGAGGAATAAACAGCCCAAGAAGGACGGGGACCTTTCCACGGGAAGTGTGGAAGGAAAGGAAGCAGAAAAGAGGTGGGGACAGAAAAGCCAGAGCAGCTCAAGGCTTGCCTGCCTCTGTGCTGGTCCACGAGGGGCCAAGACACCCAGCAGGGACAATGCAGCAGAGACAATGGAAGACGCTGAAAATAGGGGCCCAGCACAGCTCCCTGGACATCTTAGCAGATTAATAAGGCTTTTGAGGATTCCAGAAACGTCTTTGTGAGGCAGAACCTGACAGAGGCCAATATGGAGTTCTTTGAAGCCTCTTTTTCAGCTGCTTGAAACCACAGACGCTCTGCGCCCTGTGAGGAGGGGCGAGGCCTGGGCGAGCCAGGAAAAGCTATTGTGTCTCTAGAAAATGGGAGCCCACAAGGAGAGTTCATAACAGCCGTGAGCAAGCCATTGAAGTTGGAAGGCAGGCACATTCTCAGTTCAAGCACAATGGTCTGGCCAGACAATGAGAGAGAAGCAGCCACTTCTCACACACAAAAGCCATGACAGGGCTGAGAACATTCTGGGAAGCCGAAGAGCGGGCTCGCCGGGCAAATCAGGAATATTACTCCTGCTATACTAAAGAAACTGAAGCGCCAAGACATTAAGAGCCTTACCCAAAGTCCCTCAAGAGTAAATGATAGTGTGGGTAGTCAATCTGTGTCAGTTTGACATTCAAGAATTTACAATAGGGATCCAAAGTAATGGGCAGTCGCTAAGCAAGAGAGGGACTAACTTTTCTCTCATGTGACAAGAAGTCCAGGGGTACCCGGGCAACCCATTATTGACACAAGGTTCCACTCTCTAGTTACAACCACGCAGGCGTCAAGTAACTGCTGAAGCCCCAGCTGTCAGCTCCATGTTTTAGGCTGAAAGACAAAAGGGGAGGAAAGCATAGAAGAGGTGAGCTTCTCAGGGGAATTCATTGTCCTAAAAGAAGCCCACCCTATTTTACTATTCTCATTTTTTTTTGTTATTATTACACCCCATTAGCCACTCACAAGGCTAAGAAATTCCTATTTTGGTAATTGAGGTGTGTTGTCACAACAGTATAAATATTCTGGTGGTTAATAGCTCGAAGATAATACAGGGAGCAAACTTCAGCCTAAGACCTCAATCTCTTAAATCTAAATCCAGAATCCTTTCCATTCTGGAACAGCCTGTGGCTACCAGGGACAGCACATGGCCCAGCCCTCCTGGCCTTAACACAAAGTACTGAGTACACTGAACTTTCCCCAGCCAAGGTCTGAACCTCTCAAGCAGCTGGGCAGGCCAGGTACGCTCTCCCTGGGATGCCACGCACTCAACTCCGTTGGTGTGAGTCTCTTGCTCCCCCACAGCCTGTTCGGGACTTGCACAGTGTGAGTCCAGGGAGGATGGGATGTTGTGGTGAAGAATGGCCGTGCTCCCCACTGGAGCCAGCACTGCTTTACCAAGTGGTCACACCGACCAAGAGCTATAGAAATGGGTAGAGTGATTGCGTGCAAAGAAACAGGACGGTTGCGTGGGTTTGTGTGATCTCCCTACGGCACCCTGCTGAAACGCACTGTGTTCTGGGCCAGGGACATGGGGCTAAAGGGGGCAGGATAGATGGTAGCAGGCCAGGGCTTGCCCTTTGAGACCAAAATAGTTTGGGGCTCCCATGTGAGGGAGAGACAGCACAGTGTGACAGAGCTGTCCTTCCCACCAGCCTCCCTCTTCTCTGTCTCCAAGTTCCTTCTTGTGACATTTCGAGTTACAAGGCTCCTGTCTCAGAACCCTGACTTTGAATGTCTTTTCATATTGGCCTTGAAGAAGATGGTGTCATCAGTGACCTTTGGAAAAGACCATGGGGGCTTAATTAAAAACTAAACTCGGCCTCTTAATTCAGAGGGTCTTGACGACTCCCTGGCACTGATGTGTGCCCAACCTTGTCAGCTTACAGGGGCTCGTAGCTCTGCCCTTTAGTGTCCCCAAGCTACGAAGCCATAATGATGAGACAGGCTAGGGCCCAGGGCCCAGGACACAGGGCCAGCCATGCTGTTCCTGGCAGGAGAGGTCCTGGCCACCAAGAACTGGGCTCCAACAGGGCTGGAACTGGGACGGTGTGGGCTGGGAGGGACCTCACCTCCCCCTGCACCACACCCAAAATGAAGATGTATCCTGGCTTTCCTCAGGTGGCTGTGTGGAGGCCCAGGGCCCAAGTGATGCTTTACTCTGCTTCCCTATCACACTAACGATTCCTTATGCCTCTCTCACTAATCCTCAGAGGCCCCCAGACTAGCCTAGAGGATCAGAGAGCAAAAGGTTTCTAGCTTTTCCCCATGTCTCACATGTGCCCATTAGGTACGTGGTCTGAGAAATGTGCCAGTAAACAATCTCATTGCCACACAGGCATCTTACACTCAAGTCTGGATGGTGTCACCAGATTGTGTGTGTGTGTGTGTGTGTGTGTGTGTGTGTGTGTGTGTGTGTGTGTGTGTGATTTATGGTGCATTTGTATCAGCACAAGAAACACACACTAGAACTAGGAAAGACTGTGCAGCGTGGTGGCCAGCTGGAGGCACTACATGCAGCCTCGCATGCTGCCACCCTGGTGGGCGTGTTCACACTGCACAAGTGCTGCTTTGTGCTGCGATGCAGGGACAGGGACAAAGCAATAGCCACAGTGTCATCAGGCAGGAGGAATCGGTTCCGTCGATCGCTGCCATGCTGGGGTGCGGCCCATTGTGGGCAGAAGCGCCTTACTCGTGTGTGACTGCCGTGGCTCTCAGCACCTCCTGGGAGGAGGACCACTGGGTGCAGGCACACAGGAGAGGACCACTGGGTGCAGGCACGCAGGAGAGGACCGCTGGGTGCAGGCACACAGGAGAGGACTGCTGGGTGCAGGCACGCAGGTAGTCTTGGAGGGTCGCATGCTCCAGAGAAAATGTAAAACACTAGAGACTCCTCTGCCCATTCCTGCATGCCAGCCAGCACAGAGCTTTTTCCTCCAGATAAGTCTGTCACCTTCTTCAACCACATGTGCTCACTGTGGCCTCAGTGCCACTATAAAACATGGAAATAATGTCATAGGAGTCACATCAGCTGCTTGGCCCTGGAGTCACCATCACCACATCGCTATTTCCCCTTTAGAAAGAGAAGGGTCAAAAGATGGCATTCTCCCCGACTACTAACTAGTTGTTAGTTAACCTGGCCTTGGTCAGGTTGCTGAATCTCTCTGGGCCTCAGGTTCCACCTCAGTGAGTTCTGGCTTATCTGCAGGTGATCATCTTTTATGCTTCCTTTCACTTTTCCAAGTATTGATAGTTACTGAGTATCTAGTGCAGGCCAGATGTATGGCAGTGGGCAGGGGACCATGCTAGGTCTCATGGGCATGAACCCTGGATGTTGGGCCAGCAGGACAGGTGCTTGAGGTCAGTGTCACCTTCTGAGGAGACAACTTTGCTGTGGGCAGCTCCATGAGCCAGGCCTCTTCACATTCACAGGGCTCAGGAACCTCACTCAGTCAGAGACCATTCCCCATCCTGGATGCTTATAACTGCATAGAGATTATGGCCAGACTTCTGCTCCTGCGGGAACCACAAAACCAGCTTTGCCTCTGTGCCCATGCCTGCCAAGCTCAAGAGGTTGGGAAGGATGGGGAGCTCATGCCCATCTCTGCCAGTCCCTGGGCCCCACATGCTTCAGAGCTCATCACTCTTGCTGTTCAACGTGTCCAAAGTGAGCAATGTGGGCAATGTGGTCTTCGTGGAAGAATGATGGTCTAGTGGGTCCCCTTGGAAAGGACAGCTCACAGTACCCTTGGCTTTGCCACTGACTAGCCCTGTGGACTTGAGCAAAGCTCTCAGATTCTGAGTCACCTTCCAAGAACTGCATAAAGCAAGCCTTATGTGTTTTTTAAGTGTTTCACTCAAATCAAAGGCTAGGATTCAAAATAAGAAGGGAGGGAGGCCAAGACCAGAGTCACGGGACCTCCTACCTGCAGCAACCCCTGCTCCTCTTGCCAGGATCTCTTCCGGGTCCACCAGTCTGGGACTCAGCCCTGCCTAGGGGCTCAGCCGGAGGCTGGCTCCAGCTCCCTCATTGGGCCACAGGGGTGCCCTTCCCGTCAGGCCCTTCCCACCACTCCAGCGAACAAAGAGCCTTGGAAAGAAAAGAGAAGGTCGATGAAGTGGATTTGAAGAGCTCTCCAGCCGGGCTGATAGCCCACAGGCCTTGCCACTGTACCCACAGCTGCAGGGAAACAGTACCACAACAGCTGAGGGTACTCTGCCTTCACAATTGGTGACTGCCTCCTCAATAAAGGGCGCTAAGAGGCTTGGATCTTCTCTCCAGGAAACCCCAAGGGTGCCAGCGCCCCCACGCAGCTGTGAGATAGCTTTGTCAGACAACATGCTTCTCCTCCTGGGGGTACCAGGGGCTGAGAAGTGTGAGGTGGGCAGCCAGCAGAAAACAGCAAACTACTCCTAAACAAAGACTCCTTCCTTCTCTGGGGCTTCATGGACATGTTTTTTTTTTAGAACTGTGTGTGTCCTAACCCGAGTGGCTGTCTGTGAGACCCTGGCTGGCTAGACAGAGAAGAGGAGATGGCTGGGGTTGTGTTAAAGAACGGGGCTGACCTTAGCGACATCCTGCTGGGCCTCACTGGCCACTTCACTGACCATTCCCCAGGCCTTTGAGGCCTGGAGGGGAAGAGGGCTGGCCTGGCCTCAACCGTTGAGGGCTATCGGCTGTGCTATGGAAGACAGCCTCCCTCCCAGAGCAGCACCCGCCTCAACATCTCCCCAATTCCTCATACTCCCCCCATTTTCTCCCTCCCTTTCCAGCTGAGGAAGTCCCACATCATCTGCAGCCCCTCCTGGCAAGCAGATGTGAAGGAAGCAGACCTGTGACAAGTTGAGGCCACCATGCCAGCATACAGAAATGTAGAGCAGAGGAACAGAATTTCTTTTGCCCAATAAGACCGAAAGAGCCCAGCTAAGCTCTCTGTCTTTTTGTGTAGCCTTCTAATCGCCAGCATCCACCTGCATCCCCTCTGAGTGGGGTGTGGACCCAGATCTGCCCTGCAAGAGGGAGCCCCCATCAGATCACCTGATAACCCCAATTCCCCCACAGTGAGAGTGCCAGTTCAAAGGATTATGGGGGTGACTGGCTTATGGATGTCTAAGAACTGCCACTCAGAAGTGGGTATCTCAGCTCTCCATAGCCACAGTACCTCTGGAGAACCCTCTGAAAGGGATGGAAACTGAACACAACACTCCCTAATGCTGCATGCACATTATTATCCCTCTCAAAATTAGGGAACTGCACAAGGCCCACAGCTCCCAAGTCTGAGCTTGCCCAGCCTTCCTGAGGCCCTCATTTCTAAATCACCTCCTGCATTCAGGGCAATCCAGCTTCCAAAGATGACTAGCAGGCCAGCAGTTTGTGCTTAACAGATCTTTACAAGTGAGTAACCATTGCCTGTCCTGTCCCCAGAGAGTCAGGCCAGTCTGCCTTACCTACTTAGTATTCCACCTCGCCCTTGGTCCCCACAGGGAACAACCACCTGGTCCCCGGTCCCCCATGTGAATCCAGGTGGGCTAAAGCTTAGGACTCAGGGTTCTGGCCTGGAAGATGAGTCTGCTGGCTGCTACCAGCCAGAATGAGGGGGAGCAGAAGAAATGTCAGCGCCCTGCAGCCTCCCAATAAAAGTGCTAAATGAAGGTAAATTTCAAGTCACCAGTTAACAATGGCTGAGCAAGCGAGCAGTGATCAGTGTCTTAGTCAATTACCTGGGGAGCTGAAGGGGAACACTCTGGAGAGCTGCCTGACCAATGCTTTGTGTCTGGTAGTATGGGCTTCTCCAAAGCCCTGCCTTTCTAGGGTGGGAGAGCCATTGCAACAGGCAGCTCACCTGCAGAAAGGTAGGATCCGGGGTTTAAGCAGAGATGCGCTTTGTGCAAGATTCCTTGTGTAGCTGACACATGAGATCCTCCCATCAGCATCATGGGGCCACCTCCCTTCCAGGAAAAACAGTGACTCCAGGCCCCTGTGATACACTGCAGTACTTTCTACCAGAGCTGAGTCCTGTTCTCAGGTTCCTTCCTGACTCCGGGCTCCAGCCTTCATATCCCAGAGCACAGAGAAAAAAGGCTTACCTGGCATGAGTGCCAAGTTCTCGCCCTCCCCATGGCCTCCCATACCCTTCTACCCGCCCCCTCCCCAGCCCTTATCCAAATGAAGGGGCTCTCTCTTCCCTCACCTTTCCCGGGTCCATTACTCAGCACAGCAGGCTCTTTGAAGCTCTGGTCAACCCACAAAAAGCAGTTCTGGGTGGTGATCACTGCCTGTCCTAGACCCAAGACTCCTCAAGGAAACTCTGTCCTCTCAGGCCCCTGACATTCCTGGAATGTTGTAGGATGAATGTGGAAATCACTTGACAGTCAAATTTCGGCCACCCCTACTTCCTAGTTGTGTGGCCTTCTCCCAAGTTTTCTCATCCATAGAAGGGAGTGATGACATCTGCTCCACTGTGTTATGAGAGAAAAACACCCGAAATGGCTTGAAGCATCACTGGACTTCACAGCATCTATGCCCCACCCAAGGGACCCTACATAAGATTCTGGAATTTTATTTTACTTCTACCTATGTGTGTGAGCAAGCCCTGGGATACATTAGGGCCTCCTATCTGGAAGGCCCGAGAGCATGCAGCTCTACCCATAGCATTGTAGCGCCATCTGGAGAAGGGGTAGGCTGGGATAAGGGAGCAGCAAGAGGAAATGGGACCACATGGACTCCAGGAACAGGAAATGGGCATGAACACTGATGCCGGTTGTCTTTACTACTTCTAAGACTTGCAGATTCATGGCCATGTGCAAGTTGCTTAACCTTTCTGCTCCTCGGTTTTCTCACTGATAAAATAGAGTGTGATGGTCAATTCTACAGTTTGATGTTGTCACCACAATACCAGAGCTCATGCTGCCTGTCAGCACAAACACCAATGAGCATACTTTATTATTATTATTATTATTATTATTATTATTATTATTATTATTTGTGCTTTATTCAGAGAGCCAGCAATCTGGGAAGACAGGATTGAGGGGAGGGAGGTCAACACCCATCCCCAGATTATCTCCCTCATCTCCAGGTGGCACCTTCTACAAGAAATAGGGAAAAAGTCTATCTGTCAATAATTCCAAAGTTAAGTTGTGTCCCTCTGGCCCGAGTCTAAGATTCACAACCTTGATGTTTCTCTGTTATCACTTCCCCCACTTTTCCTCATTAGCATCTCTACACGTATGTTCAGTCCCAAGGTCACTGACTCCTCCATTCCTCCCAAGATGTACTCTAGTTCACATCTAGGTTAAAGGCTAACTCAGAACAAATAAATGGTTAGCAGTGTGTGGTGCTGGGTTATTTACAATGTTCACATGCTGGTTTCTGTCTATGATATGAAGTATCATGATATGAATTGTGTTCTTCCAGTACAGAATCTAAAAATAAGACCCTCGCTGGGCTGTGATGGTGCACACCATTATTCCCAGCACTCAGGAGGCAAAGGCAGGCAGATCTCTGTGAGTTTAAAACCAGCCTGGTCTACAGAACAAGTTTCAGGACAGCCAGAACTACACAGAGAAACCCTGTCTCAAAAAAAAACAAACCAAAAGAAGTACTCTTGTCTATCCATTTTGCCCCCTATCATATAAAAAGGAAGACATGTGGTCAGGGACATGTTAGGTGACTAAAAGATGCATAGCAATGTTGATAGTTCCCTTGCCACCATGCTCCCCCTGCCTTTGATAGAAGTCTTTATGAGTATACGGGATCTTTCTAGCAGTTTTATCATGGTGATAGGATCTACATTATCCAGTGTTCTTCTGCTATGACAAAATACCTACATAACCAAGTTAATGGGGGAAAGGCTTACTGTGAGTGGCAGTTTCAGAGATCTCAATCCATGGTGGCTGGGCCCTGTTGCTTTGAGCATGTTGGTGGTTGTGGTAAGAGTACACGACAAAGGAGGCTTGCCCACCCAACAGCAGCCAGGAAGCTTGGCCATGCTCCTCTTAAACCAGCTTCCTCCCACTTAGTAGGCCCCTCCTCCTAAAGAGTCCACCATTTACCAATGGTGCCTCAATCCAGGAACCAGGCCTTCAGCACATGGGCCTCTGGGGAGCCTTCAGGACCCAAACTCTAACAGCACCTCTGAGCTGGCCTTAGATCCAGGTGTGAGGAGCTGTGGGCAGGATGTGTAAGCTGTGCAGGAAGAGCACCAGCCCTGACTCCTCCTCCCCTGCCCTGCCACCCACAAACAGTGGGACTTTGGGGGAAATGCAGAGTTGCTGCGGGAACCTCTGACTGAGCAACCCTGAGAAGTACTGAGAGCCTGCGAGGGAACACCCTCGATGCTAGGAAGTCACGGGGCCCACTCTGCACAGGCTACCTCTCTTCAGCGTCTATGCAGTTTCACCCCACTGGATGCATGCCTTTGGGTTAAGGAACAGACCCTTGGGATGTGGCTGGTCATTGACATCAAACCAGTTAGACTTGAACAGCTTCATACCACATTAGCGCTCTAGATCACTCACTAATAAGACAAGACCTCAAGGGAACGGGGTAAAATGAGACACACAGGACAAATCAATTTTGCTGAGGGAAATGGGAAGAATAGTGAAGGAAATCCGGGGTCTCTTGCCATGAAGGAGCTGTCCTGAGCAGCCGGGTGGCAATACCCCGACATCTCAGAAGACGAAGAGCTTTGCATGCTCGGTCTCTGTGAAGAGCACAGCAGTTGGCAGAGGTATGGTTCAGGTCCTTGTCATACCCTCCATCACCTTCCCACTGAGGCTGAAATAGGGGCAGATTGCTCCCTGAGCAGTGGCATTGGGAAGCTTGACAATGACAATGACCTTCACTGGCTGCTTTGCCTCCTCCCAGATCCCACTGGCTTGAATATTAGGTTCTCTTCTCTCTACTGCAGCCACTGTAAGCCATAGCTGAGCTGAATGCAGTCCCAGCAGACACAGCCTAGCAAGAGGTTTGACCCCTGCAGCCATTTCTGGAGCCCTTGGGATGTTGTTGGGCTGGCTAAGCAGCCCATTAGGAGGCTCTAGGGGTGAGGAGTAGGAAAGTGGGCCAGAGACCGTTATAACTGCAAAAGA